ATGGTAGCTTTACCTTCCTATAAACATCACAAATAACAACATGTGTCGTTGTTAGGTGCCATCGAGTCAGTACCGAACTCATAGCAACCCTATGCACAACAGAGAGAAACACTGTCCTGCATCAAAATATAGATCCATTTATGTCTACATAGATGTGTATGTACGTATGTGTATGTCTATATGTGTGTATGTGTATGTTGATGTGTGTGTGTATACGTGTGTTTTAAAAGAATACATAAGTCCACTCTCATGCAAACATGAACTTGGCTCCCTTGGTCTTCTCCAGCTAAGCTCCAGGCTGCTTGACTAACCAGGAAAAGATAGGGAGGTACTCCAAAGGAAGACCAAATAGTATAAAGAAAGAAAAGAAAGATTTCTATTTTTCACAGACAACTATCTATTTTTGTTTAAAATAAAACAGATCAGTGAACAGAAAGAGAGATGCGCACACTAGGGATCTCCGACGAGAGCCGTAGGAAGTGGTGCCAGGGTTTCAGGGACATGCACTTTGCACCTTCTCTCCATCACCTATGTGAACATGGAATCGATTTCTCCCACTCAGCTTACACTCTCCCTTTCAGCTCCTCAGCACCTGGATCTCCTCGAGGATCCCGGCTGGCCTCCGGGCCCACTGCTTACCATTCGACCTCCTACTGCACTGAAACCTTCCACTAAAGCACAGCCATTCCAAGTTCAACGAAGGGTCAGGGTCAACATTTTTTAATCTGTTGTTTTATAAACACACATACAAACATATACATACACAAGTATATGCTATTCCATTCTATAATGAAAATTGAATACAAATAAAAGAAAAAAAACCACATCACTGCTCCAGGAATTAATGGCTGAGTTTGGTCTCTGCCCCTGGTGCCGCCCGCTGGCGCCCGCCCCTCACCCTGATCCTCAGATATTGAGGCTAGACAGAGGTAATTCAGGTAAACCCCGCTTTGCTGCTATGAAAGAGACTCAGAGAGGCCAGCACTGCACAAGGAAATGTGTCACTTTTCATCCCCAGCCTGACTTTCAGATAAATCCGACGGCACGGCAGCCCACTAGAGGAAGCTCCGTGTTGGCCACTCAGTTGGTTCAGCTTCTTTGCATGCCAGGACACCCATTGGGGGTGGGCGGATCCCAAGAACTAGCAATTACTGGGTTATTCAATAAGTAGCATTAAGAAATCTGGGGAGAGACAGATGAGGCATTCTACTTCCATAAAAATGTCCAGTCTTGGAAATCCACATGGGCAACTCTCCCCTGCCCTCTGGGGGCTCCACGAGCCAGAGTAAAGGTGACGGCAGTGAATTTGTCTTTTACATTGGATGAAGACATTCAGAGATTTTATTACGGATTGAGATCTAGCTTTTTCTGAGAAATATGGTGGCGGGAGAGAGGGGGGATCTTCACCATGTCCTTACATAAAGGAAGGGCAACAAATTATAAACACTGGCCCAAATATAGGCCCCTGGGAATACAGTCTCCAAGGACTGTCTGTTTGGGGTAGGGGTGTTTCTGATTTAGAACATTCCAGGTCTTGTTTGTTATAAGTCACCTATTCTGCTGTGTTCCGGCTGATTAGAGAGAGACAGAGAGACAGGGAGAGAGCCCTGTCCTCAAGCATCTGACACAAACCTGCCCTCTACACAGCCTGAGCCCTCACAGCCCCGTGAAGTCAAGTCATCAGAGAGGGTCAGCCCTGCTGGGGTCCGCCAGGGGCGCCAGAGCTGTCCTTCCTGTGTGATTTTACTTTATAGCCTCAGCCTGAGATGGTCACTCAACTCCACCCGGCCATCTCAGTATCGAGTCCGCATCGTCATTAGAATCTGGACACCTGAGTCCTAGTTTCCAGCATGCTGCCTTTCAACTTCCACAAAATGAAACCAAGCTCTCAGAAAACCTGAAAGGACACAGTTATGACGTTATGTCACAAACGGCTTCATAATCTCTACCCAAGCGCCATTTGGGGGTTTATATGTCATCTTCACCCCAAAACAATACTAGCGTGTAGAAGATTTACACACACACACATTTTTTTTTAACTGGAGTCCTGGTAGCACAGTGATTTACACATTGGGCTGCTAAGCCCAATGTCAGCAGTTCGATACCATCAGACACCCCTTGGGAGCAAGACGAGGCTCTCTACTCCTGTAGCGTTACAGAGCTACAGGCTCGGACGCCCACAGGGGCAGCGCTCCTCTGTCTTTTCGGGTCACTGTGATTCAGAATGGACTCAATGGCAGTGAACTTATGATTTAGATTCTTTCAGGTTTCTATGACCCTAGAGGAAGTCATATCCACAGACAACGCATTGTTGTTGTCATTGCCTCCTCTGTCAGTGGTCACCTCTGTCCTCTGCCAATCTTGTATAGAACAGAGCAAGTGTAGCCCAGCCCGGAGCCACCTGCATCCTCCTCGGTGCGTTTGAGCTCACTCTTGAAGCCAGTGCGGAGACAACCCAGCTCATGAAGGGTTTCATGATGGCCCTTTCTAGTGATCAGTGTCACACACACACACACACACACACACACACACACACACACACACACACACACACGGAAAGTCAAAAAGAATTGCTACTAGGAGTCAAGTCCATACACGAATGGATTTATTCTAAATAAAATGCGTTTAAGCATGTCTCTTGAAAATGAACGGATGACTGCAAACAAGTTCTCTCGGGAATATACTTGTCTTAAGTCTCATTAGGGTGTCCTAAAAAAGAAGAAGAGGAAAGAAGAGAGAAAAGGTCCAATCTAAACAGTGGTTGCTAGGGGGCTATGCCGAATCTGTTACTTTCAACGCGATCCAAACCTCAGAGAGTTATGGGGGCTGTTCTGGGGCTCCCGACGGGATCAGCTGGGTATAATTTTCTCGAAAGGCACAGGACGGTCCGGAGCGGTCCTGGTCAAGATCCCTAAGAGAACTGGCCACCTGTCTACCAGGCTGTCAGAATGCAAAGGAGGAGGGCCCTCGGCAGCGTGGGAACCACTGTGAGGTTGGCACCGCAGGACAGGCGCTGTTTCCTTCTGTTGTCCCTGCGGTTGGAAGTGACTCGTGCCACCTACCACCACCACCACCAACAACAACAACAACAAAACCAAGACTGAACTGGTCAGGGGGGGAAAGCTAGGAAAGCTGCACCCAGGGATTTTCTCCATTACCACAGCACATCTGCCCCTTCTTCGAGGGTGGCCAGGTCTCTCCTTTGGGAATGTCCTTGAGAAACCTTGCCCAGTGCCCCCTCCAGCCCTGACCTTGCCCCTTCAGACTTTTTTCTGTTCCTCAAAGGGCATTGAGAGGGAACATGATTGGTGTCCCCAGGGGATGCCAAAGCCGCGGTCCTGACACAGTAGCCCTGGGAGGTGCACAGACCTCTGTGGAGAAGCCTCAGAGACATGCAAACGCCGCCTTCAGAAAGGTGTTGGGAAACAAGAGCTGCACATTTTATATCTCCTAATGAAATGAAGTGTCTGATTTTAGAGCCATTGTTTTCAAGTTACCCTGAGACACAGCCTTTTCCAGCACCTGGTCATTAGGTTTATAGAGAGATACTAGAGATGCACAGACACAAATACCTACACACATAAAAAAATTTTTTTTTTACATCTCTAAACTCATTACCACTGAGCTGATTTCAACTCACAGCCCCTCTGGAACTGCTGCACTTGATGGAAGGAAGCAGGCTGCCTTGCCTCGTCTTTCTCTCATGGGGTGGCTAGTGTGTTTGAACTGCCATCCTTCTGCTGAGCAGCTTGATCTTTACCCTCTTTACCACCAGGACCCCTTCACATATGCAGGGGCTTCAAAAAATTCATGGGAATTAAAGGCCCTGTGTGTGGGTGTGTGCACAGTTATAACTATATTAATATAAACTCATGTTACGTGTGGTTATACATATCACGGTGCATATATATATGTATATATATATGATAACTATATATAACTATCTGTAGTTATACTAGTAAAACAGTTAAATACAAAGTTGATGATCTGAAATAAAATTTGCATTAGAAAGTGGTTAATGAAAAAGTGAGAAAGAGATGGAGACGATGGGTGTGTGGATGGGTGGGCGGGGAGGTGGGTGGGTGGGTGGATGGATTGAGAGAGGGAGAGGGAGAGAGATTAGAGCTACAACGTGATCAGTCGCAATCCCAGAAGGTCTCGGCTCTAAGTCATGGAAGAAACTTTTGAAGGAGGTACTAGAGAGCTGGTGGTTCTTTCAACCTATCTCTCGATCAAAAATCGTCCTGTTTCCTTATTTTTGACTCCATCTCGTTTGGGTCCTGAACATGGCAGTAAGCCCTGTGCACACCTCTACCTGGTCCAGAGAAGAAGCCCAGAACCTTCCAATCCTGTTCGAGTCATAGCTACATTCTCTTTCCACACACAACCCTAAGTTGTCTCTTTGATGCCCTTTATTGGTTTCCGACCAGATTCCAGTAGCTCTGGTTATGAAATGTGGGGGCGCTATTAGCATCCTATCATCCCTGGGTGGAATGCAGGCCTAGCTCAGTGGGTGCTCAGCAGGGGAGCAGACTGGAGGTGCAAGGCCCCCCAGAGGGGGGCACCTCAGGAGAGAGGCTTGGGAACCTATTTCTGGAAAAGCAGTAACTGAAAACATTGGTGGGAACACCGTTCTTCTGACACCTCATGAACCAGGATCAACCGGACATCACCAGGTTAGCATCCTGGCGATGTCACTTCTCAGTGGCCGGTCAACTCCCAAGTTTGCCACCTTTGTGGTCTAGACCTTCAAGTGGAGCCACCTTGAGCCTAGCAGTCCTCCCAGTCCCACCCTTGACCCTCTCTGAGGCCCTAACGGGCAAGACTCGGGCCCCTGGACTGGAAGCTTGCCACACCTAACTTGAGGGGTCCTCAGTAGGGGACATGAGACAACACGGAACACATGGATACATGTAAGCAAAATGCACACGTAAGGGAACATGCAAAACACCTGCTGGAAACTTCCTCCCCGAGAGATGGAAATGGGGCGCGGTCCTCACCTCGGGATTCGTGGAACTCCAGCGTGACGTGGGCATCGAATCCGAGGCTGAAGTAGTTGTTGAACACATTCAGTGGGAGCTGCAACGAGAAGCAGAGGGGGAGGGGGAATGTGCCTCCCCGGGCAGGACAGGAAGGAACATCAAGGTGGCCTTGGGGGGCAGTCAGCCCTGGGCTGGTGCCCAGTAACCCTAACTCCCAAGTGAATTGTCGAGAAGGCTCCAGGCAATCAGCACTCCCAAGGTATAAGAAACGGTGCTGGTGCCCTTGCCATAGACTGTCGCCACAGTACCTGCCACGCCGGACAGAAGGTTCTGGAGGCAGATGTGGGAGAACACACAGCGAGGAGCTGGTCTAATGGAGGTATGCTGAGGACGCCCTCCCTTAGAGAACTTAAGAGTACTGGGCAGATGACCACTGCAACCTGCAATACCTGACACCTAATGCATTGACTCTTTACTTACTTCCAAAAAGGCGTCCCTGGCTGGTAGGAACGATCACTGGGCTCAGCTGATAACCCAAAGACATGAGGCTTGAGCCCGCCCAATGAGGCCACTCAAAACACTCAAGACCTACCTCTGAAAAAACAAACCAAAACTCACAGCCATCGACTCCATTCTGACTCACAGGGTCCCTATAAAACAGGGGGCTTCAAAAAGTGTTTAACTCCTTGTGGAAGTAGAAAGCCTCCTCATTGTCCAGAGGAGTGGCTGGTGGTTCCAAACTGCTGACCTTGTGCTTAGCAGCCCAGCTGGTAACCCCTAAATGCCCCTGGGATCCTGTCATGGGAGGCCCTAAGAAGCACAGCTCCACTCCCAGCCCATGGAGGCAACATGGTGGCCAGTGGTTTGGTTTGGGTTTGGGGTTTTCCAAACAAACTGAAAAAAACTCATTGCCATTGAGCAGATGCCAACTCATCATGACCCTCTTGGGCAGGGCAGAACTGTCCCTGTGGGGTTCTGAGATGCTAACTCTTTACCGAAGTAGAAGGAAAAATACCTGTCTTTGTATTTTCCAAAGATAGGTTTGTTTGTTTTTAACAAAAGTCAATGAAAGTTGTTCGGCTATTTTTGACCCAGAAAGAGAAAAAAAAAGAGATGAGTGTGTGTGAGAGTGTGTGTGAATGTGTATGTGATTTCACATCCACTTGGATTTTTATGCAAGTGAAGGGTTGGGGTTACCTGTCAATCAGGTCACAGCCTGATGGTGCCTCCTTCAGGGGGTGGCCTTTGCTATAAATGGCAGTGAGCATTTCTCCTTCCTCTCTCTGCCCTGTCGCCCCCCTGCTAGCTGGGACTCTGCCCGCCTCCAGTGGCGGCCCCATGTGGGCCACCCGACCCCAGAGCTGTCAACACCTTGCCACTGCTTCCACCGACCTGGGATCCACGTGACTCTGCACCCCCAGCTGTGACCTCCCTGCTTCCCACTCCACCCTTGTGCGTCATCAGCCTGCAGCCTCATGAGTCAGAAGAGGGCTCCGGTAGCATCAGAGCTACGGGCTTGAGTTGGACGGGACTGGGGTGCCTTCTTGGTTGAAGGTTACTTCTTGGTACTAAGCTCTATCTAACACACAGATGAGGGTCACTGGGTGTGTTTCTGTAGACCACCCAGCTTCAGTATTGTGAGCTCCTCATTCAGCTTCTCACACCAGGTACATGAGCCTTAACTTCGCTCCCCCAGGGTGCTCTGCGGTTCCTGTCTGCAACTGCTTTAGAGGAAACTCTAGGAACATCCCTAAAACCCCGCACCTCAAACTGCAAAGGTCATGTGAGGCTAAGGTTCCCCCATTCAATGTCACGGGTGGGAAGGCACAGGACACGGGCTGTTCCCAGCCCCCGTTTATGTTTAATGTGTAAGCAATACAAACAAACAAAGAGGGGTCATTTTCCCCAGCATGGATGACGTTTCTGGAAAATTACCAGGTTGGTCCCCGTCAGGGAAGTGCCTCAATCTGACGAGAAGTGAGTGTTTTCCCTCAAGAATCCCAAAGTAAGTTCTCCCCGTTTCCTGTGTCCTTGGATGAGGGAGATTTTATATTTGGCTTCCGTGAGAAGGCTGTCCCATTCAGAGACAAAAAAGCCGAGGGAAAGGGGGAAGGGAAGAGAGGGAGAGAAAGACAGAGAGGCTGGGCACGTGGAAAGGAAGACTGGGGACAGACACAGTGTCTAAGGGGCAGTGGGGACCAGCCAGCTGCGAAGCCCCTGTGAGCAGGGCCTGGGAGGAGTCTGGGGCCCGAGCAGCCCTCTGAGATGGTTACAACCCGAGAGCGGGGAGAGAAAGGAAGCCCAGAAACACGGCCAAATCCATGTCTAAGGCTGCTGACTCCTCCACAGAGATCACACAGTCGGTCCCCACGCTCCATGGGAATCCTGGTCCCAAGGGAGGAAGGCATGGGCTGGACCAAACCAAACCAAACGCACTGTCACCAACTGAGTCGATTCTGACTCCAGTGCGTTTCCGAGACTGCCACCCTTTACGGGAGTGGACAGCCTCCTCTTTCTCCTGTGGACTGCTGGTGGTTTCAAACTGCTGGCCTGAGGCCGGCAGCCCAACAGAGCAGGGCTATGTCTATCTCTCATCTATGTCCAGCCTTCTGACAACAACTCTGATCCAAGCCTGATAACTAAAGGGAGCCGTCTGGTCACTACCCCTGAAATGATAGCCCAGTTTAGCCTATTATTAAGTTATCACCCACATTTTCCAAATAGGGATTTCTACTGGGGGCCAAACCATTACGTGTAGTGTGAAAAGAGCCTTAGTGTTCCCACGCAGTATTTCAATCACCTCATATGCATGTGCACGTCGGACACCGAATAAGAAAAATCGAAGAAGAATCGCTGCGTCTGAATGAGGCTGTTGGCAAGTACCACGGACAGCAGCGGAACAAACAAATCTGTCTTGGAAGAAGTATACAGCCAAAATGCTCCCGAGAAGGAAGGGTGGCAAGACTTCCTCTCGTGTCCTTTGGGCATATGTCAGGAGAGCCAGGGCCTGGAGAAGGACATCGTGTTTGGAAACTTAGAGGGGCAGCAAAAAAAGAAAGACTCTCCAGGAGATGATGGACCCGGTGGCTGCAGCGTGGCAGTGGCCGTGAGGACGGCGCAGGGCGGGCAGGGTTTCCGTCTGTCCAGAGGGTCGCTGTGAATTGGAACCAACGTGACCGCACCTACCACCGCCACCTACTCCCCTTTCATCCTCGGCTATGTTTCATATGCAAGACGGCCGGGCAAACGGGGCACAGCCTGCTGGTCAAACCTTAAAACCAACCCCACTGCTGTTGAGCCCATTCCAACTCAGGAGGAGCCCTCCAGGGCAGAGAACTGCTCCACGGGGTCCCCGAGCCTGTGATTCTTTGCAGGAGCAGAGACAGTCTCTTCTTTCTCCCTCCGAGGGCCTGGTGGGTTTGAACTTGCCATTCTCAACCCATACTGCTTTGGCTCCATTTCGAAGCACATTAACCTCACAGACACGAGTCGAGTAGGACTCACAGAGACGGCACAGGGCAGGGCAGAACTGTGCCTGTGGATTTCTGAAACTCTAACTCTTCATGGAAGGAGGCAGCCTCTTCGTTCTCCCGTGGAACTGGCTGATGGTTTTGAACGGCTGACCTTGTGGTTAGCATAACCACTGTGCCAGCAGGGCACCTATGAATTCAAGGCAAGCTGAGCCAGTGGGATAACCCTGTGGCCTTGTGGATGGCTGGGTCATGATGTAGGAGGGGGAAAGCCAGGGAGAAAAGCCACAATCTGTTCTGACCGACTTCGTCCAAACAGGGAGCTGGAGGAAGGCAGGACCTAGGTGCTGAAGGACCTGTGGGCAGGGGGATGGTTTAAGGTGGCTTTAGTCTCTGTCCAGGGTAAACCCCCTGCTGTGGCACCAGGGGACAGCTGAGTGGCCACTAAGCCTTCGGAAGGTCACACTGTGCGTTCCTGGGATGCCCAGGAGAGGCAGAGTACCCAAACCCCAAGATGCTCAGCAAAGAGCCAGGTGCTCCAATGACATCAGAGACTGTCCAGGTGAGGTAACTGAAAATCTCTTGCCATGACAACTGCAGAAGGGTTCCCAGAGGGCACAGCAGAGGCAGCTTCCAGAGAGGGATGGAACCAGGCTCCCCTCTTGCCAGAGGCGCTCAGACCAAACAGGGCAAAGTTCAGGTATAAGAAACCAGGTTAATCAGACTTGTCCACAGACGGCCTCCTGGGAAGTGGGCCGAGCCACCCCTGACTGTTGGAGATCCATCACTATCCTGTTCTGTAAAAGCGATGCTTAACAGACGGCTCAGTATCCACGCCAGGCCTGGGTCTCTTCTGTCTCTGCCTGAGTTGTCCCAGAGAAACGTCTGTGTCACCAGGAGGTCCTGAGCATGATGACCCATGAACTCCCAGCTTCAGTCTGAGGCCTGGTGAATGAATATAGCAGGCATGCTGCTTCCATGCATGGTCCTGGGCCTGAACACCTCGCTCACCCAATCTGAACCTGGCCCCGGGCCCTGCAAGCTGCATTTTTGCAGGCACACGTGGAGAGTCTAATGCATTCATTTTCAGATGCTGCCATAGAAGCGGAGTCCTTGGTGGTAAAGTGGTTCTGAGCTGAGCTTCTGATCGCAAAGTCAGCAGTTCGAAACCATCAGCTGCTTCTCTGGTGGAAGATGGGGCTTTCTACTCCAGTAAAGTGCTACCATCTCAGAAACTCACCGGGGCAGTTCTACCCTGTCCTGGAGATGCCACGTGAGTCAGCATGGACTCAAGGACAGTCAGAGAGGAAATGTGGGAAAGAGCTCAGCAGCCAACCAAATGCATCTGACATTGAGACTAGGGCTCAGGACCCGGCGTTCAATTCTAGCCCTGCGTTGGCGTGTCGGCAATGATACCCTGGTGCATTTGGGGTGGGAATAAAAGCTCCGCTGTTGGAGGAAAAGGGGATCCAAGTCAGAACGTTAACTTCAGCATCACTATGTCCCAGTCAAGGGGCGGCAAAACTAGGTGAATCCAGAGCAAAACCAAAACACCAGAGTCCATGCTGATGCACAGTGACCCTATGGGATAGGGTAGAGCTGCCCCTGCGGGATTCTGAGGTTGGAACTCTTTAGGGGAGTAGAAAGTCCCATCTTTCTCCCACAGGCCAGCTGATAGTTTCAAACTGCTAACCTTGTGGTTAGCAGCTCAACGCATAACCCATTACGCCACCAGGGTTCCTTGGCCTAGTGAGTGAGACACGCTCAAAGTGCTTCCTAAAGTCATGGGCCTTTGAGAATCAGACTGGAAGCCTGCAGAGGCCGACTTCCTACTAAAAGGCCCTGTGGCTAACACTTCAGAACATCCTTGTTTTGGGTGGGTTTATCCCCGCCTCTTCTTTGCCCTAAAGTTGGAAGGTCCAAAAATGGAGGCAGCCTTTTCTAGCATAGGGGTGGGGGATTGAGGGCACTCCCTGAATTCTGAAGGCCAGGAGCAAACCTAGGGCTCGTCATTGTGTGGTGTAAGAAAGGAATGTCCTTGACTGATGACTTACAGGCTGCCAGTTCAAGTCCCCCCAGAGGCACCTAAGAAGAGAAACCCGGTGGCCTACTTCCGAAAGGTCTGCCATGAGTCAGAAGTGACCCCTGAACAACTGATTTTAGGGGGCACTGTTTGGATTTGGTTTGGTTTTTGGTGAATTAAATGTGTGGCTCTCAGTCGTAAACGCAAATACTTTACCCCACTGTCCCAGAGGGGCGGCTGGCACACAAACGTCCCTCTGGGAAGCCGAAGCCGAAGGGAGAACCGTCTAACCTTACACACGCCGTCCTCGAGTTCCTCCGGAGGCAGGTCGGGGTTCCTCTCCACGTGGAGGTTCCAGCGGTCCAGCTGGACAATCGTCCCATCTTCCACTTGGCACAAGATCTTGGACACAGGCTCATCCGTGTAGCCCTAAGGAGGCAGAGAACACAGTCGTTAGTGTCCACAGTCGTTAGTGTCCAGACAGCCGCAGCAGCGGCTAGAAACCCAAACCATGTTGAGCAGGGAAGGGCCCTTCCCCAACAGACCCCTCTGCTTGTTCCGCAGCTCGCAAAGCTACATTTGCCTCGAGTGGCTGAGAATTGAAGACAAGCCCAGGAAGGCTCCCTGGTTTGACCAATGGGTACTGGTGGGCACTAGGGGCCGGGCTGGATGGTAAAACCCAGACTCTCTGAGCTTCTCACAGAGACTGTCCAGCGGGCCACGGGCAAGTGTGCACAGAAAGGGAGGGCCGGGAACTGATGGATCTGACAGACAACTTGCTTCTGCTAACCCTCCAGCTGGCCACCTCGCCCTCGCCTGAGGCAGGATGCTGCAGCCTCCACGGCCAGGCCGGGCCAGGTGGAGGTGGAGCCTGGCCTGGCGTACTCCTCAAGGACTCATTCCTGACCGCAGGTGAAATGCCAGTGCATGGTTGATTTGGAGGTGAAGAGATCACCCATAACGAGCGAGCCACGTCATGCACACGATGTGTGATTCATACCTTCCCTGCCCGCTTGGCAAAAAAAAAAAAAGGCCTGTGGGAAATTAACTCCCACACAGGCCAGATTCGTATGTGTCCCCATTCCAAGGATCATTGTCATAGGCCATGGTCTCCCAGGAGCAGGTGGAATACCAGAGAGGCTGCGGCTCCCACCACTGGCCCATCTTAGAGCTGGTAAAAGCACACGTAACCTTAACATGCCTGCCTTGTGACGGGGAGCTATTTCCTACAGAATGGCCTGCAGTGGGAAGCATGGCGGGATGGATGAGATAAAGCCTTGGAAAATACTGTCTGGGATGACAAGGATCAGAAAAACAAGATGCTCAAAAAATTTTTTTAAGCCAAAGCCCACCCAAAGGAAGGGGTGAAAATCTGAACCAGGTAAGTTGCTTGGCGAGAGCCTGGGCACAACCCCCGGTGGCCAGACGGCTCCTGTCTTTGTACACAGCTCGAAAATTCCAGCTGCCACCATCCTTCTCTCCTGCTAATTGCTGCCTCCCCTCCCGCCGACGGCAGGCCTCCACTTGAAGAAGCTGCCAGAGGAAGTTGGGTCCATGAGCTCTCTGACTCCCGGTTCTGATTTGCCCCCCTTGGCTCCCACACGTGGGTATGTGGACAGCCTGCGGTGACGTTCTTACCCCACCCCAGTTGAGCGTCCGAGCCAGGTCGTTCCCGGTCCCCAGAGGAAGGACCCCAACAGGTGGCTGGGGACTCAGCTGCAGTTCATCCAGGATGGACAGGATCCAGCCCACCTACAGACAATGTCGGGGGACCAGAAGAGAGAAAAGAAAGGTAAGGCGATGATGGAGAAGGCAGCTTGGAAGGAGGCACCTTCAGGGATGGTTTCTGCTTCTGCTTAGAACACGTGTGTTGGAGCACAATGGCTGGGGCACAGAAAGCCCACACGTCACGCAGTTCCAGAACAGGTGCCCCCCGAAAAGGTGGGTCCTGTGCATGTGTACCCCCCACAAGCAAAACTGGGCCCACACATCGGCATGCCACATGGTTGCTGAAGGCCAGCAAGTCAGTAATGGCTCGCAGTGACCCTAGAGGAGAGAGGAGAAGGGAGCCACTGGGGGGTTCTAACCCTCCACCTTTTGGTTTGCAGCTGAGTGCTTAACCACTGTGTCACCAGGGCTCCTTAGGTTTAACTGGTGCTCTACTCTGAAAGGAAGGCGCATTTGAGAGGTCAGAGGGTGATGTAGCATTGCACACCAGAGGGAACTGGGGTGGTTACATTTCATGTCCACTTGAAGATATAAAAAAATGTAGGGGTGGTGTTCAACCTGGCAATCGGGTCACAGCCTGATGGTGCCTCCTTGTGGGCATGGCCTTCTCATGAGGGTGCTGGGAACCTCCCCTTCTCTCTCCGTACCCTCAACTTCCTGCTGGCAAGTTACTCTGGGGCCTGCCAGAGCCCTGGAGATGCACCCACTACCATCAGACCCACACAACTTTGCACCCACCGGTCTAGGGTCTCCCTACATTGTGCATCATGCATGTGGCTGCATGCGTCCGAAGTGGGACTGATGGACTAGTTTTGGACTTATGGACCGGAGTTGAACTGGGTTGGGATGTGAGATAGTTTATTGTGCCAGCCTGGCTGATAAACGCAGGTGGGATTGACTGAGGGGCGGAGAGATGGATGGCTTGGTGAGCCTTGCCTTTCTTGTCTCTCGCTCTGTGATCATTGGACCAGCTGCCTTGCTTGTTCTGTGCCTCAATTTAAAGGCTACACTGTCTGTGGGACGCCTAGCCTGTGGACTGTGTTGCTGTAAGTTGAGGTCCCTTTAAGAGATCGCTGGTGCTGGGGACTGGCGGTTGGTGACCTGCCTTGTGATTGGCTGCTGTGCTGACATAGCCTAGCTCTCTCTACAAATAGAGGAAGACCTGGCAGCAGACTAGACTTGAAGGACTGCTAGTCTCTCACAATTCTCTCTCACGGACGTGAGTTGCACTGAGCCATTTGTAGTGCTTTCTAATTTAACTGTTTATTTCTTGTATTGTATATTTATCTGTATATGATTTAACAGTTCATTTCTCGTTATATATCTAATTATCTTTATAAATAAATATATTATATTATCAGGAATTTGGTTTTATCTCTCTAGAGAACCCTGTCTAACACAGGATGTTTTCCTGATATAGTTACTTCTTGATATAAAGTTCTTTCTTAGACATAGATGAGTGTCACTGGATTTGTTACTCTAGTCAGCCCGGCCTAACACAGGAACTAAGGATCAGAATGAACCTCAAGTCTGACTGGTCCCCACTGGGTAACCCTGATGAGATGATTCCCCCTCACTGAGACTCATTTTCCTGATGTGTAAGTAGCACAGTAATAACACCTCCCTCATTGGTTGTTTGTAGATCACACTAAAATACAAAAGACCCTTACATACCACGGTGCATGACCCCCAGTGGCACTCTCTAAATGGCTACCCTCTCTAGCTTGGCCTTGGCAATTAGTGGTGTTTTCCCTACTATCCCCGCCTTCCCCTTAATGAAATGCTATGGAAACATAATTATGGATGGACCTAGTACTTAGGGTAAGTTTAGGAAGAAAATAGATACTTATGCTCTGGAATCATAACCCTGCTTCATCTTTTTTTCCCCCTAAGATAAAGAATATGTATGAGCTTAGTCATAGTAGGACTGTTTAGAAAAATTATACCACATTTGGAAATAGCAGCAAGAAACCTTTCTGTCCCTACAAAGTTCTCCTAGAATAGGGAGGGCACAGCTCTGCCCAGGGACTCTTGTCACTGCAGATTAACCCATACAGCATTGTCTTCAAGAAACGCAGATGTTCAAAGGAGAAGACAGTCTTAAGGGCGAGGGTTCTAGTCCTCGACAAGGCGCCTACTGATACATCTCAAATGCAGAATGTGCCCCGCAGTCTGGGTTTGCAATCTCCCGCTCCCACAATTCTCTGATAGATCAACGAGGTCACCGTGCTGGCGGGTGCCCGCTGCTGCTTCTTTCTTGTGGAGGATACGAGTGTAACAGACCTTTAGAAAATTCACCAACTTCACATGGAGAGACAAGCAATGTCATGACTCTCACCGGGTCCAACCATTGCCAGGAGATATCCCACTTCTTCTTCCATCACCCATAACGGGAGCTCAGTGTCCCCTGAACAGTGAGTGCCCTTCGTGCCCTCCTTCCTGCCTGCCAGGGCTGCTTGTGAGGTGCCAGTGAGCTGGTTCCAACTCATAGCAACCCTGTGTACAACAGAGGAAACACTCCCTGGCCCTGCGCCATCCTCACAGCGGTTCTCCTGTTTGAGCCCATCGACGCGGCCACTGTGTCCATCCACCTGTCGAAGGTCTGCCTCTTTTGGCTGCCCTGCTACTTTACCGAGCATGATGGCCTTCTCCAGGGACTGGTCTCTCCTGACTCCGCGTCCAAAGTAGGTGAGATGAAGTCTCGCCTTGCTGGCCTCTGAGGAGCCCTTATTCGTTCTTCAGGCAGTTCTTGGTACTTCTGGTCTTCTTCGGCAGCACCATAATTCCAATGCATCAATTCTTCCTCCAGCTTCCTTGTGCAATGTTCAGCTTCCACACGCTGACGAGGTGACTGAAAATGCCATGGCCGGGGTCAGGTGCATCTTGGTCCTCAAAGTAACACTCCTGCTTTCAACATCTTAACGAGGTCTTGTGCGGCAGGTCCACGCAATGCGAGGTCCACTGCACGTGTGGTGACCAGTGGTGCTCACGAATGACTTTTGGTCTCTAAACACTTGCCTATTCTAGGCGTCTCATATGTGAGATCAAATAAGACTTATTACATCCAGCACAGTGTCTTCAAGGTTCACCCAGTTTGTAGCATACATTTCAAAAACCTCCCCCAAACCATGGTGGCTGAGTCAATTCCAGCCTGTGACAACCCCACAGGACAGAGTAGATGTGCTCTGCAGGAATTCAAAGGCCATAGCCGTCATGGAAGCAGACTACCACAACTTTCTCCTGGTAGCATGGATCAGAGCTTCCACATTTAGTTTACAATTCCTTCTACAGTAAGATGCCCTGAAGTCCCTGAGTTGGGCCCAGGTAGGCACTCAACTACCAGCTGAAAGGCTGCTGGTTTGAATCAGTCAGAAGGCAGGTCTGGCGATCGGGATTTGCATCTCCTAAAAGTATGTGTCCACCTGGCTAGGATATGATTCCCAGCAGTGCATGGCTGCCCCTTGTTTGGGGATCCGATGTAATTACCCTCCATTTTGTGGTGTGTTATAAAGGACCTCGAGGTATGAATGAGCCAGGACTCAGCTACCCTGATGAGAATTAGGGTGTGTTTGTTGGGTAAATGAGACAGGTTAGGGTGGGTATGCCTCACCCCTACACAAGTCACAGCCATGGTTGACATAAAGGGAATGTCCCTGAGGTGTGACCCACGGCGCCTTCTCTCTTCTAAGAGACATAAAGAGAGATAACCCAGTAGAGAAGGGGGGGGGGCCTCAGCATCACCAAGGAAGTCGATCCAGGGACGGACCCAGGGGCCTTGTGATGAGAACCTCCTAGACACAGGGGAGGATGGATGCCAGGACACGAGCAGCTCTCCATGATAATGCTGTCACACAGATGTTGACAGGAGACGAGGACCTTCCCCAGGAGCTGAGAGAGAGAGAAAGCGTTCCCCTAGAGCTGGCACCCTGATCTCAGACTCCCAGCCTCCTCAATGATGAAAGAATAAGTCCCTGCTTGGGACAGCAAACACGTGTGGTGTCTCTGTGACTGCGACACTCAAGAACTAACACAGGAGCTCACAACAAAACAGGAATAAATGCCACCAAGGACGCGACAGACTTGCATCCTGATGCCTGTCTAACGTGGCTGACAAATGGAAGAAGCCCGACATCAAGAACGGACTGTTCTGTCCCCGTGGACTAGAAGACGGAGTTCATTCTGTACAGTGGTGTGAGAGCTGCATTTTAAAAAAACGTTTTGGAAACTTAAGCCTTGAGCAATCATTGACTCAGCAGGACTGCCTGTGAAGTGCAGAAAGAACCAAACCCAACGGTCATTGAGTCTACAGGGGCCCGACAGGACCAAGTAGAAGTGTTCCTGTGGGTGACCCAGATTGTATACTCCTTTACCAGACTCGGAAGCCTCATCGTTCTCCCTGGGAACAGCTAGGGTGCAGTCTAATGCATCATACTCTATTCCACTGGGGCTCCCGTATAACCAAGCAGTTGAGAAAAACAAAGGAGTGGAGAGAAGATAGGCTAGAAGGGGCAGACCATTCCCCCTTGAGAGGTTGACCATCATGCAATGGGCAGGTTCTGTGTATGAGGCCCTGCACATGGGGCTTTAATCGGTGGTCTCATTACACTACAAAATGACTCTACGCCATCAATAGAATGTCCAACTGCACTTTACCGATGAGGAAACGAGGTTCAGGGATCTGCTCAGCATCCCATCACCTGTGGGTTGAGCTGAGGTGCATGGTTGAGTCTGTCTGATCCCAAACAACCAGAGAGCAAGCCATCAGGGAAGCTGGCTTACATGGCGAAGGCTTCCCAGCGACCGGAGATACGCAGATGACACAACCTTGCTTGCCGAGTGTGCGGAGGATTCGAAGCCCTTGCTTGGATGATGTGGAAGGAAATCTATTTTGACAACCCAGACAGAGAGGGGCCACGGAGGCCTTCTCGCTCAGACTTCCAGGAGGCACGTCTTCCTTCCCGCAGATTCATGTGGGAAAGCGTCGTCTCGTGTCTCCCCTTGTTTGGTAGCGATCAGGAA